CTGCTTTCCTGGTTTCTATTTTACTGATTTCAGCCCTCAATTTGATTATTTCCTGGCCTCTGCTCCTTCTGGGTGAGTTTGCTCCTTTTTTCCTCTAGAGCATTCAACTGTTCTATTAATTCTCTAGTGTAGCTATTCTCCAGTTTATTCATGTGGGCACTTAGTGGTATGAACTTTCCCCTCAGCTCTGCTTTCAGAGTGTCCCATATGTTGTGTTTTCATTCTCATTGAATTCCAGGAAGTCTTTTATTCCTTCATATACCCAGGGATGGTGCAATTGTGCATTGTTCAATTTCCATTGGTTTGTAGGGTTTCTGGGATTTGTGTTATTGTTGAATTCTAATTTTAATGCATGGTGGTCTGGTAAGATACAGTGGGTTATTCCAATATTTTTAACTGTGGAGGTTTGCTATTTTTCCTATTATGTGTTGAATTATAGAGAAGGTTCAATGTGGCGCCAAGAAGAAGGTATATGCCTTTCTGTTTGCGTGGAATGTTCTATAGATATCTGGTAAATCTAATTGGGTCATAACTTCTACTAGATCTTTTGTTTCTTTGTTTAGTTTCTGTCTGAAGTTCCTGTCTAGTGGTAAGAGTGAAGTGTTGAAGTTTCCTACTACTAGTGTGTGAGATTTTATGTGCGATTTGATCTTTAGTAATGTTTATTTCACGAATGTCGGTGCCTTCGTATTTGGGGCATAGATGTTAAAACTTGAGACTTCATCTTGATGGATATTTCCTTTGGTGAACATGAAATGTCCTTCTTAGTCTCTTTTGATTGATTTTAATTTGAAGTCTAGTTTGTTAGATATTAGTATTGCTACACATGTTTGTTTCTTAGACCTGTTTGATTGGAAAATCTTTTCCAACCCTTTACTCTCAGGCAGGTCTGTCTGTGACAATGAGATATGTGTCTTGTATGCAGCAGAAGGATGAGTTCTGTCTTCATATCAATTCTGATGATCTGTGTCTTTTTATAGGGAAGTTGAGATCATTGGCATTGAGGGATATTAATGACCATTGATTGATGATTCTAGTTTGTGCTTGATTTATTTTAAGAGAGTTATTGTGTGTAGGTTCTCCTCCCTTTTTCTTTTGGTGAATAGTAAACCGGGATTATCTGTTGCCTGTGTCTTTGTGAGTGTAGTTATCTTCATTGGGTCTAGGTTTTCCTACAAATGTGTGATTATAGAATCAACCTTTTAAGAACTTAAAGCAGTAGCACTTTGAAAACCTGAATAGGTATCACTAGTATGGTATACATATTTTTATTTTACAAATATCAAAAAATGAAACATATCCATCTGCTAAATTTTGTTCCTTTGAATATCCTTTGGGTACCTTCCTGCAGGTAGTAGTGTTTGGTTTTATAAACAAGTATGGCATTTCATTATAATGTCCTTGGCATCTTTCCAAGTGATGGAAAAGTCTTGTTTTCAAAAATTTGGTATTGCAATGATATATGTAAATTAAATTTAGAGGCCTCCAACACATTTACTGAATCAATTTCATTGTTACCTTGTGCTAGATTGCCTGGCAGACCTGAATGATAACCATTCCTGATTCTGTCTAGTAAGTCAAGAAACAATAGAGTCAACTCTGTAACATCTGATATATATTCAGCAGTTTCAATATGCAAAACATCTCTTTCTGCATATTATGAATCAGTAACTGTTGAGATGTTCAGTAAAATCCATTAATACCATAAGAATAGCACATAATTCTGACTTTCGAGCAGAATCAGAAGGGTTTAAATTTTCTGATTTATATCCTGCTTTCCTGATTCATTTGCATCTGTATAGAATGTAGGGACTCCAAATATGGATGTTCCCCATGAAATGTGAGGAAGGATCCAGTTAGTTCTCTATTAATTGAATGCTCTTTCTTTGGGGGTATTTGTTGTTTCTCTCTCCCACATCTCCTCTCCAAGATTCACTCTCTGTCCATATTTTATAAGTTTCATCACTAATAAAAGGGACTACCATTTATGCTGTGTCTATTCCTGTTACTTGATGAGGTCACAATTTTACTTCTTCGAATGTGTTCAGACTTTTTCACATAAGTTTTTATTTTTTCCTCTGTTTATGTGTTAATAAGATCCATTCTAAAATAATATCTGCGGTCTACATAAGTATTACTTAGTAGAATGCTTAGAGGTTATCATGACCAAAATGCAATCATGCTTTGGACCCAAATGATTTACTTATGCATACTGCAACTTCTTTTGTACACCAAAGCCAATTCTTTCTTGGCTTCAGCTTATAATTTCCTGATACTATTTAATTAATTTTCATTGTCTAAGATTTCACCAAATTACATGGTTCCTCACTCTATAACCCAATAGAGGACCACAGACAAGAAAATGTCTCCTAGCCATGTTTGACAGTCATTAAGATTTAGCAGTTGATTATTCCTAATTTGTTGTTTTTTGTTTGTTTGCTTTTAGAGACAGGGTTTCAAAATTTAAGATAATGAATATTTAGTTTATAGCTACATTGAGCCATGCTCCTCTGTTTGCAGAGTCAGAAACCCAGTGAGGAGGCTGTGAGAGTGCATTTCATGAAGCTGTGAGGTTGTGGTTTGATTTTTAACCCTTTCCTCTTTTGGGAGCCTGCCACCCAGCTCTCAAAGAAATCACTCACGGTGGGCTATTTTTCCCAGCCATAGCTTGGTTTTTTTTTATTAAATTAAATTATCCCATCTACTTTTTCTGCTCTGGACTTTTATCTTGCTCTAACCTTTACTTCTCTTTACTACTTACTCTGATGTGCATCTGATATCTGTTCCATGTTGTCCTTTCCTTGTCTTGCTCCTCCTTCCTTTTTTTCCTCCCATGTATTTCTTCCTATTTATTAGCTCAGCCTGCCAGCTATTCTCTGACAGTAATTTCTTATACAATTTGTCTCATCTGTATTCTGTACTGTTGTTACATTTACTTGTCTCTCTATGCTTGTTAAGGTTATATTCAATTCAAAGTGTACAGAAATGACAGAAGAATCTATTATTCAGTTTCCTTTAAAGTGACTTGGTGATTACATTATAGTGTTTGTGTAATCAAGTAAACGTGGGGAACACCAGAATTATATGAAAGTACTGTTAAAGAAGTATACATTTACAATGTTGTTTGTGTCATGTTTTCTCTTGTACACATGTATGGGATATTTTAGAATGTAGTGACCTATGATGATGTGCATATCGAGTTCACTTGGGAAGAATGGACTTTATTGGATCCTTCTCAGAAGAATCTCTACAAAGATGTGATGCTGGAGACCTACAAGAACCTCAACACTATAGGTAAGACTGAATTTTCCTTCATGTTTTAAATAAGGGGCAACCATTTCTTAGTTGTTGATGCTCTTCTGAAACTTGGTTAAGAAAGAAGAATGGGGGGAATAAATTGGGCATGGATCTAAGGTTGACTGGAGATGGTATCTTAAATTTGAACAATTTTCAATAACATAACATATATTTTCCTGTACTACACTTTAGGATACTATTGGGAGGACAAACATATTGAAGAATACTATCAAAATACTGGAATATATGAAAGGTAATTTTCACATGCTAGTTGGCACAAATGTGCCCTGGAAGATAATGTAATGCATCCAGGAAGTTTTAAACAAAACATCAGCTTAAAGTATATTAGTGATTATTAAATTTCATAAGCATATACCTCAATTTCAGGTAAGTAAATTGTGCTTTCATGGAATCCTTTTAAGAAAGAAGAAAAGGAAACAATGCCTTAAACAGATATGATCAAGTTAATCATAACAACAGAGGGCTATGAGGTAGATCTTTTAATTCCTTTTTTTTGTTTTTTTTTTGTTTTGTTTTATTTGGTTTTTTGAGACAGGGTTTCTCTGTATTGTTTTGGATGTTGTCCTGGAACTAACTCTGTAGACCAGGCTGGCCTCAAACACACAGAGATCTGCCTGCCTCTGCCTCCCGAGTGCTGGGATTAAAGGCGTGTGCCACCAACGCCCGGCTTAATCCCTTTATTTTATACTACTCACATTACAAATTTACATATTGAAGAGGTGATTAGTAAATCTCCAAAACAATCTAATAAGCAAATAGTCATAGTATAGCTAGTCTTACTCATGTAATTTTTGTGACTGTACCACATTAATGAGGGGGCAGTTAGAATTAAAAGACAAGTGGCAGTTCTGGGGAAACCTTAATACCTACACAACAAATCTATGAGGAAAAGAAATTCAAATTGTAAATTCAATATGGAAAACATTTATTTATTCTTCCTTTACTAAGCATATCATATGTTACTCTGGATACAAGCTTCTATGAGTACAGGGTTATGGGAAAATGTAACTTGTCCCTCTCAGAACAATAAGAAGATATGCCTCAGTCCCCACATTGAGTATATTTATTTAATTTGATTCAAGTGTAGAAGTAATGGGTTTTCCAGCTTCATTGTTAATTCATAACTTCCTACTGCAGAAAGCCCTGTGAGTACTAGGACTGTAAACAATTCTGTTTGTCCTTGTTCACTTAGCAAATATAGTATGACTTGCAGTATAGGAAAACTTATGAATGCAATAGCAGTTGTAAAGCTCTCTGTTTTTCCAGTTCTCTTTAAATATGAGAAGAATCTCATAGAAAAATAATTCTGTTAGTGAGAGCATGTAATAAAGGATCTTACCACCACAGGTATCTCCAAGATGCAAAACAACCCTTAATGAAGGGGAATAACATGAGTGTAAACACAATGATAGTACCATGAGATCTGATTCCTTTTCACAATCAGACCAAACTATAAAATTAAGTCACAAAGATAAGTAGATTTAACAATATATTGAATGTGGTAACACTATTAAATGCCAATCATCCTTGCAGGGCTGAAAGAAGTCAAACTGTAGAGAAACATTCTGGATATACTGAAAGTATTAAAGCCGTTGCAGATTACATGCATCTTCAAAGGCATACAAGAATTCATGCCGGAGAGAAAGCCTGTAAATGTAATCAGTGTGGCAAAACCTTTGCAGATCACAGTTATCTAAAAGTTCACGAAAGGATACATACTGGAGTGAAGCCCTATGCATGTGATGTGTGTGGTAAATCCTTTGCACAACAAGGTAATCTAAATACGCATAAAAGGACACATACTGGAGAGAAACCCTATGAATGTAAACAGTGTGGTAAAGCCTTTGCATACCGTGGTGTTCTGCAGCAGCATGAAAGGACACATGCTGGAGTGAAACCCTGTGAATGTAAGCAATGTGGTAAAGCTTTTGGATGCAAGAGTCATCTACAAGTGCATGAAAGGACACATACTGGAGTGAAACCCTATGAATGTAAACAATGTGGTAAAGCCTTTGTAAGCCTCAGTAATCTACATGTGCATGAAAGAACACATACTGGAGTGAAACCCTATGAGTGTAAACAGTGTGGTAAAGCCTTTGCATACCGTGGTGTTCTGCAGCAGCATGAAACGACACATACTGGAGTGAAACCCTATGAATGTAAACAATGTGGTAAAGCTTTTGGATGCCTCAGTCATCTAAAAGTGCATGAAAGGACACATACTGGAGTGAAACCCTATGAGTGTAAACAGTGTGGTAAAGCCTTTGCATACCGTGGTGTTCTGCAGCAGCATGAAAGGACACATACTGGAGTGAAACCCTATGAATGTAAACAATGTGGTAAAGCCTTTGCAAGCCACAGTAATCTACAAGTGCATGAAAGGACACACACTGGAGTGAAACCCTATGAATGTAAGCAATGTGGTAAAGCTTTTACATGCCACAGTCATCTACATGTGCATGAAAGGACACATACTGGAATGAAACCCTATGAATGTAAACAATGTGGTAAAGCTTTTACACGCCACAGTAATCTACATGTGCATGAAAGGACACATACTGGAATGAAACCCTATGAATGTAAACAGTGTGGTAAAGCCTTTGCATACCATAGTGCTCTGCAGCAGCATGAAAGGACACATGCTGGAGTGAAACCCTATGAATGTAAGCAATGTGGCAAAGCTTTTGGATGCCACAGTAATCTACAAGTGCATGAAAGGACACATACTGGAGTGAAACCCTATGAATGTAAACAGTGTGGTAAAGCCTTTGCAAGCCACAGTAATCTACAAGTGCATGAAAGGACACATACTGGAGTGAAACCCTATGAATGTAAACAGTGTGGTAAAGCCTTTGTATGTATCAGGAGTCTTCACAATCATTTTCAAAAATCATTCTGTAGAGAAACTGTATAAGTGTAGTCAGAATGCTAGTTTTTACTTTATACATGAGTAAAAGTTTTTGTGTGAAATGAAACTGTTAATGCCTTTGCAGTAATTCTATGTCTTTAATACCTGGGAAAGTCTTAGATGGAATGCCTTTGATGGGGTCCTAAACACTGACTCTCCAGTTGCATAACATTGGGGAAAGAACCTGATAGTAGGAGACAGGCATCTAAGGGATGTAATCAGCTAACTAGGACCTAGTAATGGAGAACAGGTTTCACACATAGCTAAGGAATGTAATTAGTAAACCCCAAACACATGGGAGAAGTTGTACCTAGTAAATGATCAGATTGCATTGAACTGTGTGAAGTAAATCCCAAGTTTGTTACAGAAAGGAATAAGTACTAGAAGTATTTGCAGCAAGAAATGGCTACTTTTATTGATAAGACTGTAAAACCAAATACAATCTTTGTATTGATTTAAATCATTCATACATAGCCCTTCACTCTGCTTGGTTTTCACAAGAAATGATGGCTTTATAACTACTGTGTGATCTTGGGACTTGTAGCCAAAACAATTATTAAACTCACATATCTGTCTTGTCATTGGTTTTGGTATATTGATATGAAGTTAAAGTCATTTTGTTATGCTGTATGTCTGATTTTGCTCTTGTTTAAATGATTTTTGTGTACTGATCAAAAGTAAGGTCATTGTGTTACAATACATTGTGTATATATTTCTACTCTGTTTAAAGAATTTTTGTTTATAGATACCAATCCATGGTAATTTTTGTCACAGCATTGTGTATATGTTTCTGCTCTTGTTTAGTGTATTATACCTAGGCAGTTCATTTAACAATGTGAGGCAAAGTTTAGTTTTTGAAAGCTACTACTATTAAATACTTATGATAATCTGAAAACATATGTTACTGTTTAGTCTTTTATGACAATCCAATTTATAAACATATTAGGTATATTTATGAGATAATATAGATATATATTGTAGATAGATGGTCTTGAAAGCTTTCAAAGACCTTCATAATATTGTATTTAAAAGTGTTTGTAAACTGGGGGATTTTCATGAAAATGAGACATCTGCTCCTGGCAGCATCAATTTACTTCAGAGATGATAGACACTGAGGACATTCCTTGTGAGATTGGCTTTCAGTGTGGTGTTAAGAGAAGACTTTTCTTGTTAGCCGCTTTGGTTTATCACCCGCCAGTCTCCTGGGCTCTGCCACATAGTAGTCCCCAAATAACACACAAGACACTGTATTAATTATGAAGCTGTTGGCCTTGCTTGTCTCTTACTGGCTAGCTCTGCTTTAAGTAATTACCCCATAATTGTTAATCTAATTATGTCTCTTACCGGAGAGGTTTCTGGGCTTCCTACCCCAATGGCGTTACATCTCAAACTCTTGTGTTTCTCCTTCCCAGAATCCTCCTGGACTCCTAGCCCCACCTATCTAGATTCCCCATTGGCCAGACAGTACTTTATTGACAAATGCACAGGACTTCCCCAACATCTCCTCTTTTCTGTTTAAACAAAAAGAAAGGTCTTAACTTTAACATAGTCAAATCATATATAACAGAACAGTTATCAAGCTAGAATACAGTTACAATATTTTGTCTATCAACATTTAGCATGATTTAAAGAAAATATCATCCATCCCATCCTTGTGAGTCTAAAGTTCTATATGTAGCTTATCTTTTATCATAACTAAGGAAAACTATAATCATAACTATCTGTCTTCAACTCCATCAAAGACCACAGAAGGATAATATATAAACACTAGGATTGACAGAGACATCTTACTGACTGGACAGTCACCTGGAGTTCCTCTGTAATATTGGGGCATCCATCTTCAGCCCATAGGCCACAATGTGTCCAGAAGATTTCTCAGCAAAGCAGGAAATTTCAAACTGTCCATCTGCATCAGCAGTCTGTCAGTCATTTTTCTGAGTCCTGGTAGAAAGTCCCATAGACCCTTCCATGAAGCAGGAACTCTGTAACACTGAGTTCAGCAGTCATTTTCCTGTGGGTCCTGCATGTCCAGATTATATAACAAAAGTCAAACTGTCTAGGCAAGAGCAGTTTCTTGCCCAAATGGTTAATCTTGCCCAGTTGTAAGCAAACTCCGTAACAAGTTTCTTTGATGCCCATCTTCCTCTCAGATGTAATTGGTGCTGCCAGGAGCAGACATTTCTCATTGTCAAGAAAAACCCTAAACCATTTTAAATGCCATTTTCTGAACGTCTTTGAGAGGTTTGAAGACTATCTGTCTCAAATACATCTCTATATATCTAGAAAACCTAACTTACCTAAGTTCTGACTATCATAAGTAAATATCTATAGCCTATATTCAACTATGCATTATGTTTTAAAAGATCAGTATAAGCACAATACTTAATCAAGAGGAGAAATATAAGCATCACAAAATTGACCTTGAATTGGTATCAATAAATGAAAAACAATACCCATACCATAATTCCCCCTTTTGCCATTAACAAGAGATCGGCTGTGATCATTAGCCAATTATAAACAACCCCATTTAAATGAAAACAAATATTTATAAACAGGATGGGAATTAGGACGTCGCTCATTCCAAACTGCTTCATGCTGGAAGGGGGCGCTGTTCATACCATGGGGATCATGACAAAACTCAGAAACCTGTATAAGTCCATATTTTCGGGGTCAGTAAAGCTCCATCATCTTAGCTGTCTCAATTGTTGGAACATCTGATCCACTGCTTCCGGAGGTCTTGGTTCATCGAACCACAGAAGCCTGGAAGGAATCCTCAGCTTTTTATGCTCTGTGGAAACATAAATTAAAACTCCTTTTCTGAGTAACATATCCTTATACTTAAATTTTGAGGTCAAGGCATTTTCAAAAGATGTAAGTTGAATTAATTTAGCAGCATTTATAATCAAGTGTACTTTAGCAGCTGTTCCTTCCTGAGCAATTATAAAACTGAAAAACACAATAGCATACAATATCCAGACTCTCTGTGTATATTCCATCTTTACGTGGCTTATTTATTTATCTATTATTACTTTATTTATTTTACTTTTATTTAGTTTTCTCTGAGACAGGGTTTCTCTTTGGAAATCTGCCTGCCTCTGCCTCTGAAGTAAATCCAACCGGCGTGCGCCACCACAACGCCAGGCTTTTCTATTTACCACTTTGCCGTTTCATTTTCTCTCGCAATCTCACGTATATTTTTAAACATACTGTAAACCTTTAGAGGTTTTTCTTTATCCAAGTCTGACTTTACTGGAAATCATTATGTTTTTCTGGCCACGTGTCTTATCTGTAAAACCGCGGCTGTTTAAACTGCCGTTTCAAGATGGTGGGTGGAAGGATGATTCCATCTTACCGCCTCAGTCCATGCTGACATCCAGCAAAAACTGCCACTTCCAGCTGTACGTACACACTTTTCAATCATTAGCAGAGTCTGTTAAAACAACCTTGGTGGTTTTTTTGTTTTTTGGGTTTTTTTTCTTTTTATGCCGAGTCAGGAAGATTCCAGTAAGCGAGCCGCGTGAATCTCAGCTTGTGCCTAGCAAAACAGAGCACACCTGAGATAAATGCTGCTACCAAAAATCTGTGCTGCTCTCCATTCCTCTGTTTCTAAAATTCCTTTAAAGCTTTTGTTGTTTTGCGTGGAAATTCAATCCCGCTTCTGACAACCATTCTGTTAAGAGAAGCTTTTTCTTGCTAGCTGCTTTGGTTTATCAACCACCAGTCGCCTGGGCTCTGCCACATTGTAGTCCCCAAATAACACACAAGACACTGTATTAATTATGAAGCAGTTGGCCTTGCTTGTCTCTTACTGACTAGCTCTGCTTTAAGTAATTACCCCATAATTGTTAATCTAAGTATGTCTCTTACTGGAGAGGATTCCGGGCTTCCTACCCCAATGGCGTTACATCTCGAACTCTTGTGTTTCTCTTTCCCAGAATCCTCCTGGACTTCTAGCCCCACCTATCTAGATTCCCCATTGACCAGACAGTACTTTATTGACAAATGCACAGGACTTCCCCGACATCGTGGCAAGTTTATCCAATGGACAAAGAAACTGTTCTTGCCTATTTAGAGGTGACAATGTGTACAGCAAACTAAATATGCAAGATCCAAAGTCTGTGACTGGGGGAAGGTTTTTATCTACCTGCTTTAAATTTCTTTTTCTGTTAATTTATTGTACACTAAATTTAATTTCAAATTTTGTTCATGTGCCTCTGGGCTTGCATGCATGTGTGCAGTGCGTGCGCATGTGTGTGTGTGTGTGTGTGTGTGTGTGTGTGTGTGTGTGTGTGTGTGTTCTTGTGTGCATGCACTTTGGCTAGTGACCACTCCAAGATGGAAGCAAGGAAGACAGAAAGGAGAAAAGAAAGGTTGATTTACAGACCAAGGAAAAGAAAAAGGAACATGCCTGGTGTTTGTGTCACAGGCCTTCTATCCCAGCAGCACTGGGGAGGCAGACACAGGTGGATCTCTGTAAGTTTGAAACCAGTCTAGTGTACAGACCAAGCTCAAGGACAGGGTCCAAAGCTACAAAGAAACTGCTGTCTCAAAAACCAAAGTAACAAAAATAATAAAAATCTCATGAAATAGTTTGATGCATGTGTGCTCTATATGCACGTGCACCCCTTTACCAGAAACCGGCACAAGATCTTACCATGTGTTTCCTGGAAAATCTAGAAATTCTACCTTTCTGGGCCTGATTCTTTAGTATTTTTTCCTGGGCCCGTTTGTGGGTGTGCACTGGTGAGAGAGTGGGCACATGTATACTCCTGCAGCATGAGGTGGGAACAAGAGGCATCCCAATCCTGTGTGCTTGTGGCTCCTGCAATGGAGCTGCTTGCCATTAAGGTCCCTTTAATTTTATTTATTAAAAAAAAAGGGGAGAGAGAAAGAAGGGAAGGAGGAAAGAACAAAAGAAAGAAGGACAGGAAGACAGGCTCACTTTGCAAATAGTATCCAGGATTCCTCTCATGCTGCCTAAGGCCCAACAACCTCCAAAACTTGCTTTGTTCTGAATATGCACCCATGGCTAGACTAGCTCAGCTTTCACAACCAACACCTGAAGCTTACTTGCATACCCAGGCCAGGTTCCCTTAGGTTTATTCATTGCCTTTTGCAGTTTTTCTTCATTAATGATAGGTTAATTATTTTAACTTTAATTATTTTTCATTGTGTATGGTGCCAGAAGATTTGGATTACTGGGAGTGGGCAGATATAATATATAAGTATAGACACATACATAAATACATACCTACAGACATATATACATGCATAAAAACATACATGCAAACAAACATACATGCAAACAAACATACATAGATTTGAGAGGTAAAATTATTGAGCAGTGGTGATATATCCTTTTAATGCCAGCACCTGTGAGACTGTGTCAGGGAGATCTCTGTGAGTTTGTGGTCAGCCTGAATTATAGAGTGAACTCTAGGACAGCCAAGGCTATACAGAGAAACCTTGTCTTGGAAAACCAAAAGAAAAAGAGATTATGAGAGGGAAGGAAGAGATGGAGGGAGGGAAGAGAGTAACAAACATGCAGTTTGATGCAGAGAACTTAGACACATGCCTTTATACTCACCAATCTGGAGGCAAGGTGTCACTGAGTTAGACTGGTTTACAGATTAATTTCCAGGGCTAGCTACACACAGAAAAACTGTAAACAAGAAGCAGGAGGGAGAGGAGTAGGAGGAGAGACTGAGAGAAAGGACCAGAGCAGTAAATGTACAGTTGCAAAGTCATCACACCAGTGAATAACCATTGTTGAGTTACTGACCAACTTTCCATTGAAAGACAACTACACACATACAAACACACACACACACACACACATCAGTTTATTCAGGAAAGGGAACCCCTAGTAAACCAAAGTTTCTATTGCTCAAGTGT